CGTAAGGCGGCACTAGTGCTGTTCTTGAATATTTTGGCAGGAACTCAACACAAGTTAAACTTGTTGTTAGCACTAATGAATCACTAGGTATAAAATAAAGCCATACTTCAGCAACTGGGCATTATTAAAATTGATTGCCTTTTTTAGAATGAAGTCTATTCGTAATGAAAATAACATGGTTGTGAATGATCTTCTTGAGGAACTTATGTTGTACGTATTAGAATTTACGGGACAAGTAGCATTAGGTCGCCGATTAAATGCTTTCGCTCCTAATGTACCGGAAGATGCCGTGTCCCGAAAATTACTTGAAAACGTACATGATTTCTTTAAAGTCTCAGATAAATTAGATTTTCAACCAAACATGTGGAGATTATATCCAACCAAGACATTCAGGAAAGCTATAAAAATCTTTGACCGAGCGGAAAAGTAAGTACAGGAAGTATATAATGAAAGTAATAATTGTACACTAATTAGACTTCTGGGTTGATTATGTTGGCTTACACAGTTATAAAAGATGAAGCTATGAAAAAATGTTTAACAAAAGACTATACCGGGGAATTAACAAATAGGGTTGTCGACGAAAACGAAAACAGTGTATCCGTACGTGTAACACTAATATATCCTGTTTCGTCACAGACTAGTTTCGAGCCCATCGAGGCCCTTCTTTAGGCCATTTTTTACAAGATATATTTATGAATGTACTGTGATGTGACTATTTTTGTGTTTAATTAATTAATTTTTCTAATTTCATGCGGATAAAGCCGCACGGGAACAGCTAGTTTAGTATATACGAGTATTTGTATTAGTCACGAGCCAGTTCAACAAAATAAGTTTATTATTTAATTTAGGTTAAACGAATATCTACTAAGAGATGCTATGGAAAAACTAAAAACTGATCCAAAGCCTGAAGACAAAAAGGGTGTCATAGAAAGATTAGCGGAAATAAATATGGATGTGGCATTAGCGTTTCTTGATGACTTTTTTTTCGTAGGAGTTGACACCGTGAGTACAACTCGTTTAGTTTGACAAGGATATTTGGCCAGATTCTATGCTTTACTGTAACTATTATTTTATGTTTATTTATTTTCTATATCCATGTATATTTTAAATAAATAAAAATACATATGTATTTTCTGGTAGATCAAATCGATAACAGCGGGTCTGGCTAAATATCCCAGTTTGACTATAAATATACCAACATTGTTTTTTATTTGTATGTTCAGTTATTTAAAAATCAAAATATGAGAATTTTAGTTAAAATGCTAGATCAGTTTTTCATGCCCCATTTAATACACAGTTTTACATTACATATACGAGTACTACGTTTTTTACAGACAGCAAATGCAACGCTATCAGTGCTATATTTGCTAGCGACCAACCCTGATAAACAAACTAAATTGAGAGAAGAAATCATGGCGAAAGGAAGTCGCCGACCATACTTAAGAGCGTGTATAAAGGAGGCAGCGAGAATTAGACCTGTGGCGCTTGGAAATTTAAGACTATCCACAACAGATTATAATATCTTTGGCTACGAAATTCCTAAAGATGTACGTATTCGTACGTAATAGTTTGTTAACATTTAAAAGAGGTAGAGCCCGCTTTAACATCTTCGCACGACCAGCCGGCACGTCCGGTGCAATACCACGACCACACAGAAGACATGCGTAAAGTGAGAACAATTCCGCGTTTCGGCCGATTAGTGTGCGTATCGGAGGCTTTATTAAAGTTCCTTTCCCTTTCCACTCTTATCTTACAAGAATTGAAAGGTAAAGTGGATTTGACGGTGGAGAAGACGCATGGAAAGGGGAAATATCCTTTTTATTTGCGTCTCCTTCTCCGTCGATTAAGGGCAGGCAACGCATCTGCAATTGCGGATGGTCATGAACAGCGGTCGCTTCGCCGTTTTGCCCGTTAGCTAACTTATTGTAAACATTTTGTAAAAATAGAAATTTTGGCTTTACATATTTTATTTAGAAGAAGAGGTCGTAGTTATTATATTGAGATACTGTTTCTTACCGACTAGAAGGACAGAAAATAGTGACAAATATGTTCTTACATTGGGCTACACCTATACTCGTACGTACTAAATTATTATGCGACCTTCTCTTCCAGACCTTGATATTGTTTTGCCACGAGCACATGTCTGTAAGAGAGGAACAATATCCTGAGCCTCATTCGTATATTCCTGAGCGTTGGCTAGTTGACCAAGATCATCCGCTGTACCATGGAAACGCACATCCTAATGCCGCTGTGCACTTTGGTTATGGAGCTCGGGGCTGCGTAGGTAAGGTTCATTATATTTTTTTCTTACAATATTTGGACATTTTCTGAAGCTCTATTTAAAAAATGATTATACCTTAGGGAAGCCATTTAATCAAATATTAACAACGATGTGTTTTGTCTAAATAAAAAACCGTAGAAGGACTTAAAACAAATGCACAAAAAGCACATCTATAGTAAAATCATGAAGAAAGTTAAAGTTAATTGAATAATAGATATTGCAGATGAACATATAAACATTAATTTCAGGTCGAAAATTAGCCGACATGGAAATGGAATTACTTATCAGCTATTTTATAGAAAACTTTAGGTTAGAATGGCGCGGAAAGCCAATGCCTGTGTTACAAAGTGTTTCTAATCACAATATTGGGCCTTACAATCTTGTCTTCAACGATATTTGATTTAAAGTGGTTATGTTGTCTATATTCCTAAAAATTAAAAGTTCCAAATATTATTTAAAAACCATGTAATATATGTAGACGTGTAATAATTGTACACTAAAAAAACATCAACATTTATTTCTAATTCATATTTCATACTAATTGTTGAATTTAACACAATTGTATTTGTTTCAATAATATTAATGAATGTTGATTTGGTTGTCTTGCTTTCGAGTTCGATCCCCTGTTAATTTAAGAATTCAAGGTATCTTGTTATTATAATGTTATCAATGTTGTCCTATACTTTGTTACTAGTTCTTTAATACAATGTATTTTCATTTTTCATTTATTATTTAGTAAATGAGAATATGTAATCAGTATTGTATAAAAAATTGTTTTATTTCCCTTAACACCTATACATTTTGAACACAAATAAAAAAGAACGAGTGGTTGTCACTTTTATTTAACAAAAGTCATATTATTGAATATTAAATATCTTTAAAGGTAAAATTAAAGGGCCCTTTTACATAATTCAATGTGCTCTGATACTGCTTTAATGGTGCACCGAACCAATCAATTTGGAAGTTTTCAACGACTCGAGCGACGAAAATTTCCATCTCCAACTCAGCTATGCGACGACCTATAAATTTGAAAAACGCTTATCGACATATTCGACGCAAAATAAGCAAATGTAATAACATCTCTAAGTTCCTTCTTTTGATAGGTGTTGTTTCAAGGACACCTCAGAAGGTTTCTAACTTCAAATGTAAAAACATTATCAAAAATGATTTCCATTTCCCATGAATCTTTTTGCTAGAACTATCATAATCATCCTTCTATACGTTCTCTCTGAAGAGCTCGGACACTAGCCTTAGTTACGGTTTAAAGTATAATAAGATATAATGAAATACGGATGAACAATCATACCAACACAGCTTCGAGTTCCAAACCCAAAAGGCATGAATGCAAATGGGTGTGCGTTCCCGTGATATAGTGGATCTTCTTTTTCTACCAACCATCGCTCCGGAATGTATTCGTTCGGTCTTGGATAGTGACACTCCATCATCGAAGCGCATTGATTGGCAAGGGTCAAAAGGGACTGGAATAAGTAAAATCTCACATTGCATACTTTGTTCTAATTTGGATTCTGTTCACACAAAATATTATCAACCCACGATGCTAAACAAGCAGTCACTCATGTTTCATGGGTACTTACATTCTTTGGTATATGGTAACCAAGGAGGTTGTACTCCTTAGTTGTTAGCCTCAAATTTGCAGATAGTACTGGCATCATTCTCATTGTTTCCTTTATACAAGCCTTCAAATATGGTCTCTTTTCTGAACCTGACAATATCTCTTCTCTCAACTTATTTTGCTTCTCCGGATTTTTTGCTAATAAATAAAATGTTGGTATTACCGTATTGGCTGCCTGTAACAAACACAATATCAAGGTTGCTGTACTAGTATAGCAGCAGATGCCCGCCCTCAGGGCCCTCTATTCGGGGGTGCAAAAAAACTATAGATGTGATCAGTTTGGCTTAATTTTGTGAAGTATAACTTTTATTTTGTCTAATTTTAATTTATCTTATGTTATAACTAGCAGTGTTCGCATTACTTTTATTAAATAGGTTGATATTAAATTGGCGTATAAACATCTATTCTGTAAATATCTTACCGTATCCACGCCAGCAAATAAAAAATCACTAGCCATTAAGTAAGCATAATGTTCATTTATTTCAAGTAATTTCTCTAAAATTCCTTTCTCGTGTTCCGATACTTCATCCACTTTTTTAGTTTTTAACACCTCAGTTGCTTGTTGAACGAAGTATTTGTTCAAACTGAAATATCAAGGAATTTTTAAAAGAGAATAAAAATCGTGAAACACGATATGGCCAAGCCTGCAATTGTTGAAAAAGCAATTTTACTTACTTTTCTTGATCTTCATATAATTTCATTGCCTTCTTGTAAGCTTTGGTTGGAAATATTCTCCAAAGACTCGGTTTGAAATCTAATTTATCTGCTATGGTGAAAAAGTCATGTACAATTTGAATGAGCTTCCTTACGGGGGAATCTGCGGGTAGATTGGGGTCGAAGCAATTGAGTCGACCACCAAGCGCCACCACACCGATTGACTCCAAAGCCCACAAGTTTATTTCATTGCTAAAATCACCTTTCAACATATTGTTTTCATCGCGAATCAATCTCATCCTGTCAAAAAATATACAATTATTATTTCAATACAATTTGATTTTTTTACTACATAAAATAAAAAAAAATACGAGTGAAATAAAAGTGAATCTAATATGCCGCGCAATAACATCTGATGCATGTTTTTTCGATTGTAATCTCTATTCCCAAATCCAAAGTGTAGCAAACTATTGAATCAAAAACTTTATTGCAATTACCTCATGTACTCATAGTAATAATCTAAGACGTCTACTATCTATAAATAATATTTGACCATTGGACTCACCTTTTTATCATATCTTTAGCTACGTCATCTAATATATCTGTATACAGCTTTATAGTCTTAGGTTGAAGTAAAACCGGATTGACTGCGGATCTTAGAGTCTTCCATTTTTCCTCGTGACTATAAACGGAAATTAGAAAAATTACTACCTAGTTTTTACGTTTAGGAATTTGTTTTAGTTTGTCATTAGTCTTTTAATAAATCTTTTCCCTTTATATAAAATTTACTTTCAGAATAATAAACCAGGAGCAATAGAACAATACGCACTCTGTTATTAGACTTGTCACCTCGTGTGTTACTTTACCAATTTTTTTCTTATATTCATTTCTGTAATGTTCTAATGATTGAAATCCTGGTCGCTTTGGCGTCAAATTTTCACTTCGCAAAATCTAAAATTATGTAACATGTTAAACTAATATTTAAATCCTTAAATCAATACTAATATCAATGACTTACATAAGCCATGGTCTCTGCGTCATATATAATTATTATATCTGGTGATCCAAACAGTCCAGGAAATTTAACTATTGGTCCATATATTTTGTATAACCTATCAAATAATTCGAACCCTTCAGCTTTATACAACGCACCTGCATAACAAATTAAATTGAGAAAAGAGAAGTACTAAAAAAATTTAATTAGTGTTCGGTTGTTTTTTTTCAAATACCATTCCGATCCGTTCACCCGTTGTGCACTTACGTGAAATCAAACATCCGTTCATCCAAACTTTCGAATTAATAACACCAATAAGAATTTTCCATAACTTTGTATACTCAGATGTATTCCAAAGTTCGTTTTAAAGTTTAAAACTTTTTATATAGCAGCAATTAAATTGATATAAATTAATACGTTTATCGTGTTATATCACCCATTGGAAGGAAATGATGAAAAAACGATATGATTGGCAACTTGGTGGGGCCGGGAATTTCGTCCCATGACTTCAGCGGCTGCGTTGATTCGGTGGTATTGGGTATTACATTGTTCACAGTTGTGATGTACCTGTAAAAAACTATAAAATTAAACATAAGTGTCTTTTATGACTCTCTCATTTAACTTAACATCAACAGACGTGACATTAGGCTCGCTGCACACTTTTAGTTTCAACTGAACAGACGAACTGTAATTTTGAAAATGGAATTTTACATGTACAAAATTAATTAAAAATGCGGTAAAATATTGTATG